ATTTTCTGCGCAGTGTCTGTTTGTAGTTAATTTTACCTATGCCAGTCGACAAACAGAAGGCAGAGTTTTGAATGACATTGATGTTCTGCGCAGTGTCTGTTTGTAGTTAATTTTACCTATGCCAGTCGACAAATAGAAGGCAGAGTTTTGAATGACATTGATGTTCTGCGCACTGTCTGCTAGTTATATTAGCATACGGCAGTGGAAGAAGTGAATGAAGCCAGTCCGTGTTAAGGCTTCGAAATTAAATAAAATTTGTCTGAAAAAGCAGCAGCTCTCATTTACAGTCGTCTCGTTCAGCTTGGTACTTTTCTCCTCTCAGTAGGGTTGTTTACAGCGCTCGCAATTTCCGGTTAGCTTCTTAGCTTAGCCTCCTTCACAACGACACACACACACACACACTTCAGCAGAGGCCACACCTCCAGCAAGAAATCACTTCTCAATAGCAACGAGTCCAGACCCTCTGTACGAAGCAAAGTAAAGGACAAGGGTCTGGTTTTTACCAGGTTAGGTTGGCTCCATTGGTGAGTTATGAATGGCCAGAGGCAACTTATAGACAGACTGGTCTAAATTTTTAGGTAAATGGTAAACAGACTGTACTTAAATGACACCTTTCTTGCAAACCTTTATATTTGAAGTGCTTTACAACAATCTGTGCTCTAATTCCCACCACAAAACACTTTACTGCTTAGCTAATCTAAATAAATCAGTTTAAAGAGAATCACTGCATCAAATCTTGTTGTTTCATTATCTTGTGAAAGTTCTTAAAGTTTTGTTCCACAGTAAAGTCACAAAGGTTCACAAAAACCCTTACAAATCATTGAAAATAATATTGTTAAAGGTATCAAAGGTATCCGTCATGGCAATTTTGCAAACATTTCTCACATTTATACATGTCGGCAATAACCTGACTACTGAGGGTGGGAATTTCAGGCATCGACTAAACGTGTCCTTGAAGTTGATKTGAAGCTGTTTTTTTGTGATGTTATTGTAGCTTCGCCGCGAGGTGAGACTGAGGCGGGAGTATCTGTACAGGAAGGCACAGGAGGACAGGCTGCGGACAATAGAAGAGAAGAAACACAAGCTGAAGGGCGCGCTGGAGGGTGAGATGGGATAATAATTGGATCCCATTTTCCTCTTGCATTTTGCATGAGTGCTTAGTGCTATAAATGTTCTTACCACAAATCCTGCTGGAACACTTGTTTTTTTGTCTTGACCACAGACAATTGCCTCCTTCCAACTGAGGTACGCAAAGAAGCTCTGCAGCTGCAGAAACTACTGGAGTATGATGACGAAGGGGCAGAAGGCAAGTGTTGGCTGATTACACTATGAACCCAACCCAGCCAATGTTCTCTCTTTCTTTACCATCATGATTTCTGTGCAGGAGTCAGCTCACATGTGGATGATGAATATAAATGGGCTGGAGTGGAAGATCCTAAAGTCATGGTCACTACATCCAGAGACCCAAGCTCCAGGCTGAAAATGTTTGCAAAGGTCTGGTCTGATTGTCAGTGCTGGTTGTCAGTAAGGTTAGATGGTGTTAAAATGATGTCTGGCAGCAGGGGTGGAAATTAAAAATTTTCCCCACCAGCCACAGTGGCTGGTAGAAAAAGTTTTGTACCGGCCACTCAAACTTTTTACCAGCAGCCAGCCACTATTTTTTTGTTTCTGTAACCCGGTGGCATTTAGAGAATTCATGGTCGTTGATGGCCTAATTAAATTGTTTGTGCCTACAATCAGATAATGGCACTCAAAATCTATTAGTGTCAGAGTATTCAAGCCAGCCTGTTTGACAAAATTAAAATGATGGACTTTTTGATGTCTCTACTTCTCTTACTAACTTGCTTTTTGCTGGTATGTAGGTGGAATACCAATTATTTTTAGGTAGGCTACTTGGCTGGAATAAAAAGCTTTTTAACCTTAATAATATAGGAGAAATTTTTGAGGTGAAAAAAAAATTACCTGAGGTAAATTTATCTCCTTCATTTAATAAAATCAGCCTTTACCTTTTATCACTTGTAGTTTTTGTTCTAAATGCTACTAGTATGAATGTGTCTTCTGTTCTAAGTGAAATTTCAATAACAGATGGAAATCCCTCTAGATGATCCACTGTCTCAGTGTAGGATCATTTTTATTTTTAAAATGTTTGTCACGAGATTTTGTTACTTAGTTTGCCTGTTTTTTTTTTTTTTTTT